GTCTCCTTTCCACATCCCTTCTATAAAGCATTCTCTTGGACTCACTGTAATGTGGGCCGGTGTCTGGATATTTACGAAGGAGCCACTGGGGTGGCCAGACTTGACGATTCAGACAAACTCAGGATTGATTTTAGCAAGGGATCTGTAGTGCAGTAAGGACCCTGGATGGCACAGAGAGTGCACACTTGACTTCTCATCGAAAGATTGGCAGTTTATACCCACTCAGAGGCACTGTGGAAAAAGGCCTGGCAATCTGCTTCCATAAATATGATTGTTGGTGGTGGTGGTGGTGGTGCCTACAGGTCGATTTTCAACTCGTAGTGACCCTATGTGACAGAGTAGAACTGTCCCATAGGGTTTCCTAGGCTCTCATCTTTATGGGAGCAAGTCACCAGGTCTTTCTTTCCCAGAGGCACTGGCTGGGTTCAAACCACTCACCTTTTTGTTTTGTTAGCAGCTGAACTTTTAACCATTGTGCCACCCAGTGCTCCTTTCGATAAACATAACAGCCAAGAAAACCCTACAGGAACACTGTTAGACAGGTAGAGAGTATTGATTTGGGTGAAGAGAAGGGCAATGTACCAAATGTGAGTGATCAACATGGTGGCACTGAGGAAGAGGAAGACATAGAGAGGTGCATGGGAGGTACAGACAACAAAGATGAACCCTTTTGCACATACAGTACTGCGTTGTCAGTGACGGCAAATATTGATCTACTGATCTACAGGTGGATAGATGGGTGGACAGGCTGAACTATTAGGTATGTCTATGCAGGGGGGAGTGTTCCCAAGACCATGTATAGGGTTGGCAGACAATGTTTCTACAAGTGTATTGCTATGTTCTGTAAGAATTCCCAAGTGTATAGTAGAGCTGACAAGGGACAAGGTTGTAGTCAGTTCTTGATCACAGCCAGCTACCCAGAGGGACCAAGTAGTTGAACCTGTGGGCTCGGGACCATAGTCACAGGGGACATCAAGCTGAATTGGCATAACATACTACACAAAACA